CCTGGTGATCTCGATTACAGTATAAAGACTAGCTAGGGCCTACACCGTCATGTCATATGTTTAGGCATATTTTCATATACTGTTGTGTTAGTCCTATATACCAGTTTAGTAGTGGCCCTTCCATTGCAAACCATAAACACAAATTCAGACCGTCACAGATATTATGACTTCTATAAATGTAATACACTACAGATCCATGCATCTGTAGCCTATGTGAACGTCACTAACGAAAACTAGTGTTCAAATAGGGCTACATACGTTTTCTGCGTCAAAATGCACGGGGAGATGCACCGCAAGCATCTGTCAAAACTATGTGTGTTCAAAATTTCCACCACATGTTATTTAATGGCCAACCTCCATTCACTAACCTCCATTCATGGGGCAGCTGACTCTATGAGTTATACTATAGTAAAATTTTGCTTAAGCTGCCCCTGACCGAAATTTGTTGTACTGTACCTATTGTAAATGTGTATATTATGTCGAATAAATAAATGAAATGAAATTAATCATATCCCTGTCAGTGCTTATCATAGGCATTTTTTTTTAAATCCTAGACTTGTTCTGGGTCCTCTGGTCAAACATAGTTAATACAATATCTATTGAAACCTACATTATTAATCACTGATACATTATTATTTAACAAGCAACTCTGTTTCCGAAGTATTGTAGGCCTTTAGACCATGAGACTTAACTAACCAGTAGGCATATACAGTACAAACTTCAAACCCGGAAGTTAAGCAACTGGCTGTATTAATCAATCAATCTCAATATGTAGGAAATTTACAGGAAATGTCGAATAAATAAATGAAATGAAATTAATCTTATCCCTGTCAGTGCTTATCATAGGCATTTTTTTTAAATCCTAGACTTGTTCTGGGTCCTCTGGTCAAACATAGTTAATACAATATCTATTGAAACCTACATTATTAATCACTGATACATTATTATTTAACAAGCAACTCTGTTTCCGAAGTATTGTAGGCCTTTAGACCATGAGACTTAACTAACCAGTAGGCATATACAAACTTCAAACCCGGAAGTTAAGCAACTGGCTGTATTAATCAATCAATCTCAATATTTATTTATATCAAAATTCAATATAAAATACCGGGTACAGTAAAAACACATAAGTAAATAAAAAAGAGGAAGGAGGTACAACGAAAAGAAAAATTTTCTGTAAAATGTACAGAAAAATCAACTCACCCACAGGAGCAAAGAAGAAAAGAATTAAGCAGCATGAAATATGTAGGAAATTTACAGGAAAAGAAAATATAGTTGACTAAATAAATTACAATCACAAGTTAGGCCTACGTTAGATATATTTTCCTTGTTATTTTGGGCATTGTAGCTTCATCCCATCATTAAACAAGGTTATACGGTAGCGGATCATAGCCTGCATCCGCTAAATCATCGTTCATCGATAGACGGGATCGGGTCGGGAATTTTCTCATTTCTAGCCCTAGGTCTTACATGACTACATAGGCCTATACGATCATCCTTTTATATCGTAAAGCTGTAGTAGGAAAACGTTTTAGTACCAGTTGGTAGTCGTTAAGGTTTTCTTTCAGTTTGTTAATTCCTATATTCCAATCACCTGATCTCAGGGTTATTGGGTCATTCTGTACATCTTATCTTTTAACCATGGATCACTAACTGGGTTTTAACAACCGTATTCGTTCCAGTCACCAGGCCTATGTGTGGTATATATCTGTCTGCTAATAAACAATAAACTTCAACAAAATTGTTTAAAATGACGTCATCCGCTTCTGAAGTACTGTACTGTACGCCGCTGGTTGTTCTTGAACTTTAACGCTATCAAAACATGACGTCATGACAAGGCTGTAACATCACCCAAACAATCAATTAACTTTATCAAAGTTGATAAAGATCTCTGGTAGAGGTCAAAAAGTTTCGAAAAACGTGCTTTATTTTTTATTAACTTTTTTTTAACCTAAAATGATAAATGGTGGTGATGATGATGTCAGTTGTTATAGCTAGTCCCGTAGTTAAGAAAATTTGGGCCTACTCATTTTCACAAACTGTCAAGAAGATAGGCTATATTTTGAAGTAAAGTTTGTACGGGTTAAACTGTCCCGAGTAAAGAAGGAGCTTCATCAAAATTTTCCGATATGCCGTGGAAACCCTACATACTTTAACGTTAGAGAAATTAAATCCGTCAGAAAATATGGGAAAATCCTTAAAAATTAGATTAAATTTATTTGATTGTACTATGATGATAAACAAAATAATTGAATGAAATTAAATAGAAAACAGTTTTCGCTGATTTACAGATCTTTAACAACAGGGCCTAATATTAAATTGAAATTTAATATATAATATTTTATAAGTCTATTAATTTTCATTGATTTATCAAGAGATAACTTTTTAGTTAAATAATTTAATTGATTATCAGCTAATTTAAGGGTGTATTTAAAACGATACTGTAGTTGTTATTTATGCGTACGTTAATTAAAAGAGATTTAGGCCTAGAACTGATAATAATAGAGGAAAATTATTTCTGAAACGGAACAATCCCTCGGCCGAACGGACGTTAAAATCATGTATCCCATATACATGTATACCCTTAAAATGGTAACTTAAGGGTTTCCATAGTAAACTTGATTGTGTTTATCTGTTAATTATGTGGTCCGTACCACGAGCACTTGTTGATTTGTTAAAGATTTTTTTTTATGGTTTTCAGTATCTGTAAATATAAACCAGGTACAATCGAAATATTAAGTATTAGTATTGCTCAAAATAAAATGGCCATATATATCTTTATTGTGAATTGCCGCAAACTCTTGGATTGATTAATTTATTTATCAATTGATTTGTTTATTCCTTCCTTCTCATCCATAGTTCCTACATCGGTGCCATTTTTACTTGTTTGTGGATGGATAGGAACAGAATGTTGTGTCGTATTTTATTTCTCTAAAGAAAACAGAGTGATGGGGGTAGGGCATTGAACTGAAGGAAATTCATCTCACGTTTCTCCGCGACTAATTGCAGGTATCAAGAAATAAAAGAGGCAAAGCCTATTATTAGTGGTCCCGGATCTAACTTATACATAACAGCATAAGATAAACATAATTTCAAATAAAGAGAGTAGGAGGCCAAGAAGGCTTTTTTTCTATGTACCGGTAGATGAAACATGGAGTTATATATTTACCCCCATGGTTGAAGTTACGATATAGTGCTCCGTTGAAACTTGATTCAATAATCTTAAAACAAAATATAGCCATTAATGTGAGATTATAAAGAAGAAAGCAAGTAATGTTTCTGTTGAAATAGTTCGGCCGTTCTAGTCAGATGATATAATAAAACCCATAAAAAATATAGTATTTTAAAGACTAGTTTGTTACATTTGAAATCTGACTTTCAAAGACGCAGTTCCTTTTCGGGTGAAAGTTCTACATCATAGTTTATATTTATTAAATGATAGCCCTGATTGTTTCTATGTATTGGTACAACCTTTGGTGTACTATTACAGTCAATGAACTCGCTAAAATGTTTGTTATAATAATGGGTTACGTAATTGTTTAGGATGGATTCTTTAAAAAGTGTAGGCCAAGGCCAAAATAAAAAAATTACTTGTTTAGCGTCACATCACAACACAATTTTAGGTGGGGAGGGGCGGGTTTTTTTTTTGTTTTTTGTTTTTTTGTTTTTTTTTAATTCTACAGTATCAGCAATCAAATAAAATGTGTTAAAATTAATCATTTTCAGTAGACCTACAATAAATATTACACCTAGTTGGTGAAATCATTGTTTTAAATCACTTAAAATAGGTCGATACTTATTTTGATTAGAATTTCCTGGACATTATTCATTTTTTGTTTATTAAAAAAACAATTCCCGCCTCTAAACTTTTTATTTTGCTTGAAAATTCAGGTGGGGGTGGTGACGCTAAACAAGTATATTTTTTCCCAACGTACAACATCCAATAATTTCTGTTTATATAATTGCATTATTGATTTAATAATAATAATGCTCAAGAGCGCATAATTGCAGCAAACGGTCCCTTCTGTCCTCTTTATTGCATTTTTACTTTGGCAAGTTAACAACGCACGCGTCGTCATCGAGCGAATCTCCGCACTCTGAGCGTTTGATGCCACGAGAAAAGTGAAGAATCCAGCCC